TCTCTATGATGGTAACTTCAAACCAAACATTTTTAATTAAACATCTCAACAACATCTTCTATAGATGTATGACAGAAATAAAGCCATACTGGTTAATAATAAGTGTAATAATGTGTAATGGCTGAAGTCAGTTGTAGTTCTTGTGTTTCTCTATTTTCTGTTCTTGTTGTTCCTCTTTCCTTCAGTGATTCTGCTTGTTAACAGCAGGTGTTCATGCTCAACAATCTCTTACATATTCCCTTAATTATCTCACTGCAACACTGCATCAATGTTAATTTTTACTCTTTGTAGTGTGAATTTTCCTGTGGGGTAGAAAGGGTTAACAGTGTAAGATAAAAAGACACTCCCACAAAATGTATTTTAACAGTAATAAACTGTAAGTTATAAAACAGGTTTATACTGGCAACACTGTTGCCAGTAGTTTACTGTAAAATCTTGTTTTTTGGGTCACCGTTGTGCTGAAGAGTAGAGCCTGAGCATCAGTCCAGGAGAAGATCTACAAACATTGATGATATGCTGCATGTTGCTTTATTTAAAAGGCACTGTTTGTGTTAGTTGCAGAATCCGGTGGAAATCTTTGTTTACAAAAGTTAATTTTTATTGTTTATAATTAAATAAGTTCACAATAATACCTTGCTCTTATTATTAATGCATTATACATTTAGTGGATTCTTTTAAGTTGGTTTCTGCAAGTTAAGTTAGTTAACTCGAGTTTTAGTCCATTTTTACAGTAAATAACTGGCAACACTGTTGCCAGTTATTTACTGTAAAAATGCACTAAAACTAATAAGTTGTATTTTTTTTTAGTCAACTCGAGTTTTAGTGCATTTCTACAGTAAATAACTGGCAACAGTGTTGCCAGTATTTTACTGTAAAAAAACCTGGTAAGGTCTAACAGTGTGGAGAAAATCCTGGAATGTCTTCATCAAAAACCTTCATTTCTTTTCAACTGAAGAAAGAAAGACATGGACATCTTGGATGACATGGGGGTGAGTAAATCATAGATATCTATATAAAGGCTAGATGTCTTAAGGCGGAGTTTCTATCGTCATCACCGGCGGCCATATGTCACAGGCGTGGTGACGAAGTGGTCAACACGAACACAAATACTCTTATCTCGTTGAAATCTTGACGGATTTACAAACGGTTTGGTTTCTTACAAAAGTTATTAACGTGGCGATAATTATCTGGATGATTATTTATTTATACACTTATTATTCATAAGTAGGCTGTGTCATAACTACATCTCTGACGATTATAACAAACCAAACCGTTTGAAAATCGGTAGAAAATTGAGCAAGTTATGGTTATTTTAATAGTACATGTACCATTCACACAATGTTACGAGTGAGCGAGCTGCCTGTGACAAGATGGCCGCCAGGTGCAGACGTCGACCTCCATTGGCCAGCAGCGTGGACGTGATATCTAGCCTTTATATAGATATCTATGGAGTAAATTCTCAGCAAAAGTTTTTTTTTAAAAGTGAACTACTCTTTTAACAAGTTACAAAATAACAAATGAGCTCTTCCTCATAGTAGACCTGGCCAAGACTAGCAGCAGCCTGGATATAAATAAGCAGTTTCAACAGATTACAATACTACAATAAGAACAGATATGGAAACAGAAGAATAGACTAAAACATTTTAAAATGGATAAAAAAAAACCATTAGACTGTGACAAATTAGCCTCCAATACTTTCATTTAGGATACAACATCATTTAACTAGATTCACTTTTAAGTATTTCAATGGGCAGATTCCAGGCAGAACGTGCAGTAATGTATAAAAACATCTCAGAAGCGCAAAGGGTGTTGTCCAGTACATTTTTTTTACATGATTGAGCATTAGCAATATCTGAGATTAATTGATGTGCAATATCCACATTTGCATTTGGCAACAGTTACAAATGAGTAAGCTGCCTTTTATATGTTGCTTCGAATTAACTGGCTTGACTTCCAAAATATTTGTGGTTTTCCTTTGGTAGATGGAGACAATGTGTGCTGTGTCTGCCGCATCCATTTTGACGACAAGAATAAGAACGCAAGAAAGAAGTGGCGTTCATGGTCACAGTGCACAGTGTGCCAATCATTGTCACACACTGCATGTGGTTTTAAAAAGAACATGTGCCTTCCCTGCCAGAGTCAAAACACCATGCAAACACCCTGAACCTATGCTATTTAGTGCATTCAAAATGTATCTAGTAGTAGTTATTGTTACTGTGTTGACGGCCCCCAACCCATCCCTACAAATATATACACACACTCACATAATACATACATACATACATATATCTTCAGTTAAAATAATCAGGCAAACTAATAAATTGTCAAATTTTGCCGTTTTAAAATTAATTTTGTTGCATGGACGGAGAGAACTAAAATGTTTAATTATTTTGAGCAGCATTTGCGCACCCCATCATGCTGTTGCTATTCTAAAAAAATAGTGGTTAGTCTAGTCTACAATGTTTTATAATAATAATGTGTTCTATTTAGTGTCCATTTTCTTCATTTAACATATTTTATATTTGGGGTATCCAAGTAATTTCACTTATTATACATTTTTTTTAAGTAACGCTATTATTACTTTCCCTGGTATTTACTTTTGTAATGATGTAACTTAGTTTTACTAATTCAGTTTTTGTGAGAATAGTCGAGGATTCGGCTGAATTCTAATAGTCGAAGATTCGACGATTCAATTCGGAGAGGTCTGATTCGACTATAAACGTACTATAGTCGAATAGAACATGGCCACTTCAACCTTGTATATATCAGGTTATGTGTGTATCCCGCTCACGAGCGCTCACTCTTAACAGACACACGAACAGACACACTGTCCCCGGCGCTGCTCGCGCGTTACAGAATGTTCATCAAGCGCTCCCCGTTCACAGTAATAGGGTCGTCTCATTCAAAACAAAATGCACATTGAATACTCATATGAGTCAGGCTGCGAATGTAAGTTACGTGTCCGCCCCAGCGCACTCACATTAATAAACGCCTCACCTCTGGCGCCGTGCGCACTTGCTACATACCCAGCACATCTAGTGGACACAAAACACAAACCCAGTCAAACGTTTGACTGCAGTATCTTATGCGTCTCATAATCCGGTGCACCTTAAAGTGTGGAAAATACGGTATACATGCGTTTTATATTTAGCCTGAAATAGACAAGCATTCATGCGTGACAAAAAATCTTTAAGTTTTAGGAGGCAAAATATATTTTTGGTAATTCTGTGAATTACACTGCTCAACTCAGATGAGGAAGGGTTGGCTCTCCACAAAACATAAATTATTATTTTTCATGTTCACAGAGGAAAAAACAATATTACAGACGTAACAGTTCTCCGACGGACCAACACAGTCTCATGAAGATGCGTATCTATACCACGAGTGTCATTTCTCGTGGCATTTATACGCCAAAAGTGTTTTTTTCGTGTATATGGTACGCACTAAAAAACCCTGGGTTAGGTTTAGGGGGGAGGGGGGTGGGGAGTTCGTGCGTATTATACGCAAAAAAGTGCGTATCATATGTACGCGAAAATCGCGTGCCAAATACACGCAAAAACTGTTTTTGGCGTATAAATGCCACGAGAAATGACATTCATGCCATAGACACGAACTTTCATGAGATCGGGCTGGACGGACACGAGCGCTCTGGAGAAGCACTTAAAGACTGCTTTAAAACTTTCACAGACCTCAAACAGAAAAGCAAAGCCTTTCTTTAAAGTGAATTTCTTTTTTTTTTAATTTTTTCTTGATTTTAATTAATGTTTCATCAACCAATTGTCTGTATTTAATAAATAAGAAGGAAAAGCAGACAATTAGCCACTTAGCCTACTGATAATCAAGGCACGAAGGCACCGATGTGTGAACTCGAGCTTGTCTCATAACTACCGAAACTCAGCGTACTAGTATAGTCTACTCAGACCTGAAACATATACCTATATTGAAATGTCTACTTGTAAATAGAACGATTCAAAACGAAAGAAAACGTAATGCTCTCTGCTTATGAAATGAACTGTGCATCTCTCTCTGGCGCATGCACTTGGCTACCCAGCTAGGATTTTTTTGTTCTAAAAATGTTTTGAGAACATTACCATGCAGTGTTCTAATAATGTTTTCAGCGGGTAGTTTTATTTTGGTTCCTAAAATGTTCTCTTAAAAGTTCTAATAACATTCTCTAAAAACATTCTAAATATGTTAAATGCTAACATTGTTAGAACATTATTTCCTGACGTTCTTATAACATTTTCATCAGCGGGTAGTTTTCTTTTTGTTCCCAGAATGTTCTCTTAAAAGTTCTAATAACATTGTCTAAAAACATTTTAAATATGTTTATTGCTAACATTGTTAGAACATTATTCCCTAATGTTTTTATAACATTTTCAGCGGGTAGTTTTCTTTTGGTTCCTAAAATGTTCTCTTAAAAGTTCTAATAACATTGTCTAAAAACATTTTAAATATGTTTATTGCTAACATTGTTAGAACATTAGTCCCTAATGTTTTTATAACATTTTCAGCGGGTAGTTTTCTTTTTGTTCCCAGAATGTTCTCTTAAAAGATGGCATAACATTCTCTAAGAACACTCTGAAAATGTTTTGTGATGACCTTCTATAAAGGTTTAATCATAACATTTTTAAAACATTATCCCCTAACTTTCTTATAAAGTTTTTAGCGGAAGTTTATTTTTGTTCCCAAAATGTTCTCTTAAAACCCCTCAAAAATTATTAGCTATAACATTGTTAAAGCATAACATTTTATTAATCCCAAAACTAAAACATCAAAATCTAACAGGTTTATAAATGGCATCCACATAAATTATTAGAAGTTCTGCGTACAGTAAATGTCCAACATTACATGAAGAACTCAGTAAAGTCACTCATGCGTCTTGACTCCAGTGTTTGCTCAGAGCACTCATCATCAGTCTTTGCTTGTTTTGGTTCTTGCAGAAAAATAATCCAGGAATCTGTATTAATAATAGTGTTCTACTATTCTCTCTTCTAGTAGTCCAGCTGCTCCCCCAGTTAGCATTGAGCTCTGTTCTCTGTGTGCACAGTAGAGTTTTTCCTCATAGCCTAAAAAAGAAGATCATGCAAAAGTGTAAACATAAAGAATACACATACATTAAGATCACAAGCAATATTGACATTGAAAACTTTTAAAATTAGCCAGCCTAATTAGCAGTCAGAAATTATGTAAAGACTAATTTATTGAAAGTATAAATATGATAAATTATGAGTATCTTTTTTGTTTCTGTAATTTAAAACATACTTAATCCATGTATCCAATATCTTAATCCAATAAAGTTTTAAAAATGGATATTTTTCTTACACAAATGCTTCGCTTTAAAAGGGCTTTATAACCCCGCCAGAGTCATGTGGTGGATTACTTTTATCATGGATGGATGCGCCTTGATAGACGGCCATTCACTGCCATTCTAAAAGTCAGAAGAGTCAGGACATTTTTTTAAATATAACTCAGATAGTATTCATCTGAAAGAAGAATGTTATATACACCTGAAGCATTGAGAAACGCTCTTTCCAATTCATTAACGTTAACCTCTAACGTTATATGAATTACTGAAATATTATTAACTTTTACTTTCAAAAGACATTAAGATCACTTTTAAGTAAAAATACAGTATTCGTATGCATAGAACACAATACCGGCATTATAGTAGGCTACCTTGGTTGTAAATGGAGACTTTATTGTGTCATCGGTAAGTTAATCATCTTGAAACAGGCCGTTTGGAGTCTGCATTAAAACAAATCTAACGTTAGCTGTTATTATTGCGACTGTCATACAATTCTAAGAAAGTAGAAAGTTAGGTCTGTAAAGCTTTTGTTCGTAATATGAAGGAGTACTCAAGGAGGCTCTGGGTGCACGCTGAATTCGTTTATTATGAATATTGATTAAATCAAATCACACAGGCAAAGTGTTCACTCGTGTCGTGCTGGATGCATTCTGAACTCTCCAGAGCTATCATATGACTGACATGCGACATGGCCAATAAGAACACAGGATACCATATCCATAGCATACGATAGGTTCTTAGCAGAATGTAAGAATACTACATCCCCCTTTTTCTGAAATAAACAATATAAGGAAAAGTATTGCATATCACCTTAACTTAAAAGAACATTCAGCTTTCAAATGGTCAAATGCACGAACTAAGCACCAATAGATTATTCTACTGAAGAGTTAGCATAATGTGTTCACATATGAATGCATTGTCACATATAGAAAACACAACTGTTTGAACATAGTGAACAATTTTTTTTTTTTTTTTTTTTAAGGGCAGCGATCCGCCTACACCCTTGTACAATCACAGATCCAGAATGACTCTGGGCTTTATCTGGCGTCCATATCTGGTTCTGTAAGGAATGGGCAGATCACCAGTGTGGTCAGGTGTGTGTTTACCATTGTGTGGTGCACTGTTAATGTGTGTTTCACACAGCTCAGCACCATCATGCCCTGAGAATATGTCCGAACTGTCCAGGGGTTCCTTTGTGTCCAGGAGGTGGCGTCTGTTTCGTCGATATTCCCGTCCATCAGGAGTACGCACATGGTATGACCTCTCAGTGTCAGCTGTTCTGACAATAACGGCTGGTTTCCAGTATCCTTGCTCCCGTACTCTAACTGGCTGTCCTTCCTTGAGCTGAGATAAGGGTCTAGCCGATCTGTCGTAATAGCTTTTCTGATTCTGTTGTTTGTGCAACCTCCTTGCTCTGACATCCTTCCTACTGACGACTTTGGGCATGAGCTGCTGGTGGGTATTCGGTAAGGTCGACCGCAATCGGCGACTCATCAACAGCTGGGCTGGGGACTTGAAACCATCAACCGGGCTGTTGCGACACTCCAGGAGACTGAGGTGTGGATCACTTTTGTCAGCTTTAGCCTTTTCTAGCAGCATCTTTGCAGTTTGCACAGATTTCTCTGCTAGCCCATTGCTCTGGGGGTAGTACGGGCTTGTGGTGGTATGCTTAAATTCCCACGTTCTTGCAAATGTTGCAAACTCACCCGAGCTGTACTGGGGGCCGTTGTCTGAGATGACAGTCTCCGGAATGCCATGACGGGCAAAAGCGGCTTTTAGTTTGTCTATTACTGCAGTTGAAGTTGTGCTGCCGAGCTTGTCCAGCTCAAAAAATCTGCTGTAGTAGTCTACAGTCACAAGAAAATCCTCATTGTTCCAGGTGAACAAATCGGTAGCCACAACTTGCCATGGCCTATCAGGGACTTTGTGACTGATCATGGGCTCTTTGGTGTTGGAGGGGCGGTGCGTGAGACAGATTGAGCATTTCTTAACTATGTTCTCTATTTCCTTTCCCATCCCAGGCCAAAACATGACGTCACGGGCCCTCTGCTTGGTCTTCTCGGTGCCTAAGTGACTGGCGTGTACACGTGACAGCATGTTAGAGCGAAGGCTTGTGGGAATGACAATCTTTTCACCTTTGAAGATTATACCATGCAGGCACGAAAGCTCGTCACGGTGATTCCAGAATTCTGACACACTCACGGGACACTTTCTCTTTTCCTCAGGCCATCCTCTTAGAATCACTCCTTTCAGTGTCTGGAACTGTGGGTCCTTTTCACTTTGACTTCTAATTTCCTCCAATTTTGAGTCACTGACGGGAAGACTGCTGTAAACTGTGTGCACTTGAATATCCATACCTTCACTTAGGCTTGTGTCCTGGTCAGACAGCGACTTTCTGGATAATGTGTCTGCAACAGGGATATCCTTGCCTGGTCGATGTACGATGGTGAAATTATATTTTTGGAGCTGGAGGATCATCCTTTGTAGCCTTGGGGGAACTGATAATAATAATAATACATTTTATTTAACAGCGCCTTTCTAAGCACTCAAGGTCGCTTTACAAAATAAAAACAAGGAACAAGAGTATAAAAGAGTATAAAACACAAGAGTATAAAACAGTCGGACAAGGACAAGAACAGTGTATTTACAAATAAGCAAGCTGGAACAGGTGGGTTTTGAGTCTGGTTTTAAACAGGGGGAGAGAGTCAACACTGCGGAGGTCAGGGGGGAGTGAGTTCCAGAGCTGGGGAGCAGAGCAGCTAAAGGCTCTGCTCCCCATGGTGACAAGTCGAGCAGGGGGTACAGTGAGGTGAATGGAAGAGGAAGATCTGAGGGAGCGGGAGGAGGTAGTGATGTGGAGTAGGTCAGATAGATATGGAGGAGCAAGGTTATGGATAGCTTTGAAAGTATGAAGAAGGATTTTAAATTGTATTCTGAATTGAACCGGGAGCCAATGGAGCTGTTGAAGGACAGGGGTTATATGATGAAAAGAGGGGGTTCTGGTGATGACACGAGCAGCTGAATTCTGAAGAAGTTGGAGTTTATGGAGAGATTTTTGAGGGAGGCCAAAAAGAAGAGAGTTGCAATAATCAAGGCGGGAGGTAATGAGGCTGTGGATAAGGATAGAGGCAGTGTGAAAGGTAAGGGAGGGACGGAGGCGGTTAATGTTGCGAAGGTGGAAGTGTGCAGACCGGCAGATGTTATTAATGTGTGACTGAAAAGATAGGGAGGAGTCAAGGATTACGCCAAGACTCTTAACCTGAGGAGAGGGGGAGACCGAGGAATTATCAATGGGTAATGTGAAACTATTAATTTTGGAAAGTGTGGATTTGGTGGCAACAAGAAGGAGTTCAGTTTTATCACTGTTAAGTTTTAGGAAGTTTAAGGTGAACCAGTCTTTAATTTCAAGTAAGCAGTTAGTAAGAGACAAGGGAGGGAGCGAGGAGGTGGGTTTGCTGGATATATAGAGCTGAGTGTCATCAGCGTAACAATGAAAATGAATGTTGAATTTGCGAAAAATATTACCGAGGGGAAGTAGGTAGGTGATGAAAAGGAGGGGGCCAAGAACTGAACCTTGAGGGACGCCAGAAGTGACAGGGCAGGGGTGGGATGTGAAAGATTTGAGTTGAATGAACTGAGTGCGGTCAGAGAGATATGAGCGGAACCAATCCAGAGGGGTATGGGAGATGCCAAGCGAAGAGAGTCTATTGAGGAGAGTGGTGTGAGAAATGGTATCAAAGGCCGCACTAAGATCAAGAAGGATGAGGATGGAGATGAGTCCAGAGTCAGCAGCTATGAGTAGATCATTGGTTATTTTTATTAGGGCAGTTTCGGTACTGTGGGAAGGGCGAAAACCAGACTGGAAAGGTTCATAAAAACTGTTGAGGGTAAGATAGCCGTGGAGTTGAGCAGACACTATTTTTTCAAGAATTTTAGAAATAAAGGGAAGATTTGAAATGGGACGAAGATTATTATAGTTAGTTGGATCTAAGCCAGGTTTTTTCAGAATCGGGGAGACAGATGCAGTTTTGAAAAGTGAGGGGAGAATACCAGAGGAAAGAGAGGAATGAATAATAGAGGTTATGAGGGGGAGGAGGGGAGGGGAGAGAACAGGTTGAGGACTTGGATTTACGGATGAAATCAGAAATTTCGGAGGAGGAGGGCAATAAAAAGCAACAAAATGACTGGCTATTAGGGAGGGGCAAAGGGGGTCGAATGTAATTGCTCATTAATGGAGTTGATTTTGTTATTAAAAAAGATAATCAATGAGTTACAGGTCTCGCTAGAGTACATGTGGGAGGGTAGGGAATCAGGGGGGTTGAAAATTTTGTGCATTATTGAAAAGAGAGACCTGGAATTTCCTTCGTTAGAGCAGATGAGATCAGAATAGTAGTTTGATTTGATTAAAGCTATTGAATTTGAATAGAGAAGAAGATGAGTTTTGTACATTTCTTTGTGAATGTGGAGACCAGTTTTTTTATAGAGGCGTTCAAGTTGGCGACCCTTGGCTTTCATGAGGCGGAGCTCTGACGAGAACCAAGGGGCAGAGCGGGAAAAGGACACAGAACGGGTTTTGAGAGGGGCGAGGGAATTAAGAATATAGCAAAGTCCAGAGTTATAATGGATGGCGAGGTGGTCCGGAGATGAAAGATCAGGTATAGGCAAATTTTCAATGTAGGAGGATATGATGTCTGGATCAATATTTTTAATATTTCGAAATGAAATCTGGCGAACTGGCTTAATAACAGAAAGAGACAGGGAGATATTAAAGGACAAAAAAAAAAATGATCAGAAATGTGAACATCATCAGCTGAACAATTGGAGGGAATTAAACCAGAGCAACAAATCAAATCAAGTGAATGTCCTTTTATGTGGGTGGGGAAATCAACAAACTGATGGAATCCAAAACTGTCTAGACAGGAGGTAAAGTCTCTGGTGAGTGGGAGGTTTGTATTGTCCATATGTATGTTAAAATCACCAAGGAGAATGACATTAGGAGAGAGAGTAGAGAGGAGGGTAAGTAGTGTGGAGAATTCGTTTAAAAAGTCACCGTGTGGTTTGGGAGGGCGGTAGACTGTGGCAATAACTGTGGGAGTGGGACCAGGCAGTTGAAATACAGAACATTCCATGTAGCGGAAAACTGGAATGGAAACTGGCAACATCTTCCACTTCTCGCGATAGAGCAGCGCGAGACCACCCCCGCGGCCAGAGCCACGCGGATGAGAATGGTAAACAAACCCAGGTGGAGTGGATGCATTGAGATGGAAGAAGTCACCAGGTTGTTGCCAGGTCTCCGTAAGACAGAGGAAGTCCAGCTTACGGTCAACGAGGAGATCCTGGATAAGCTGACCCTTGTTAGAGAGAGAGCGAACATTCAGGAGACCAAAGTTGAAAGAAGAGTTGTTGTAGCCGGGGGCGAGGCTTGC